GGCTTTCCTATGGTCGATCTTCGCTAGACAACAACGATTCTTCCCCATTGGAACGCATTAAACAGGTTTCAATGCATTCCAATGGGGAAATACTTTTTGCTAGACGATAATTTCGCTAAACAGCAATTTCAGTGGAACGGATTATCATCGTCTAGCGAGGCACCACTGTTCCTGGTATCAGACAAGGGTTCCTAAGTTCTTACCAAGTGTGGAATCCCACAGTGATTCCCACAGCTTGCCAGTGGTGTCCACACCACTATTCCTCCCTTGCAGATTGATAACTGACATTATTCACCGCCTGATCGTCTTGTTCCTTAATGGTCACTTTCTCCATGATCCGGATCCTCACCTGGTCACGGGGCCACGGAGAAACATAACCGCCCTCCAGTCTGAGGAAGTGGAAAGCTGGCATTATAAGCCGGAGCACAGAATCTGTGAGGAAGTGGAAAGCTGGCATTATAAGCCAGAGCACAGAGTCCTGACTCCAGTCCTTTGAAAGAGGCCGGCCACAGAGACGGGCGAAACATTAGGAAGAAAAACCTCTAGAACGTGGCCAAAGAGCCCGGAAAACCCACAACTACCATCGGATCCGAGCCGTGAAAACCTTCGAGAATATACTGGCATTAAAAGAGAGCAGCCTTTAAAGTGGACCTGAGTTTTTCGTCTCTCTTTTCTTTCGGTTCTTCCGTGCGATGTGAATGCAATTAACAACAACAACAACAACAACAACAACAACAACAACAATAATAATAAAAGGAGATGCAGCAGCTGTCAAGATAAGATAGAGCCGTGGGGGGCTCGTGGAGAGGTGGCTGGGTTGGGATGACCTGACCCTCCAGGGGCCGATCGATGGGGAAAGTCTTTCAATACAAATATCCTTGAGAGGGATTTGAGCTGTCCAAGGGAGAGAGAGAAAGGCAATATTTAAAGCTAAAAACAAATTAATATACAAATACTAAAAAATAGGATCAAACAAATGCCGCTGTGGGAAATGGTAAACCAAAAGCAACACTAAAATCGAGAACAACCCCCAAAGCAATAACACCATCAGGTGTCCTTGGCCAGGTACGGCCAAGATGGGGAAGACTTTCCACATGCTCAGAGGCACTGTCGCGCCTGAAGACTAAGCTGCCGCAATGAGAAACTCAAGTTTCCCAGAGTTCAGGATGAGCCGGAGGGAGTCTGCGACTCCATCTCCCATCATGCTTGGGCCAGATGACAAAGGCTGGTGGGGACCGGAGTCCACCAGCTTCTGGGGAACCACGATTTCCCGACTCCTGAGTTATGGGGGAATTGAACCGGGCACGCGACCTGGTACTCTTAAACCCTGAGGTACGTAATTGGATCAAAAGTAATGCCTTGCCCTCTGAATGATTCGCACTCGCTGCCCTTTCCACACCTAATGACCTACTTTGGCCCCGTTGGCCCCTGCCCTCCTCTCCCCGGGCATCGTGGCACGCCCGCGGGGAGTCACACCCTGGCCCTTTGCGTGGAGTGCTGCCGTCATTTCACCCTCCTCACGCTGGGCGAGGCCGCCAGAGCAACGTGGGATCGCCCTCCCCAGCGGGCTGACACATCCTACCTGCGGCCAGGTGAGGGAGGGGCCTTGGGAACGCCTAGAAATGGACCCAGGATGCCTGGGTTCTCTGCCAGGGCGAGAAGGATCGGAGCCGAGTCCCTAAATCCATACTGTCGCTGACCGTGTGTGTGCGTAAAGGTGCAATCATCAGAGTTATATCTAATTTTTTTAAAATTATATGTACACCTCCCCATACGCAACCACCACACTGCTGATGGGAGGAGATAAAGGCCATGAGGTCCTTGTACACCATCGGAGGTCAAGGGTGGGGAATATTTTTATAAGAAAGAAAGAAAGAAAGAAAGGAAGGAAGGAAGGAAGGAAGGAAAAAAGAAGGAAGGAAGGAAGGAAGGAAAAAAGAAGGAAGGAAGGAAGGAAGGAAAAAAGAAGGAAGGAAGGAAGGAAGGAAAAAAGAAGGAAGGAAGGAAGGAAGGAAAAAAGAAGGAAGGAAGGAAGGAAGGAAAAAAGAAGGAAGGAAGGAAGGAAGGAAAAAAGAAGGAAGGAAGGAAGGAAGGAAAAAAGAAGGAAGGAAGGAAGGAAGGAAAAAAGAAGGAAGGAAGGAAGGAAGGAAAAAAGAAGGAAGGAAGGAAGGAAGGAAAAAAGAAGGAAGGAAGGAAGGAAGGAAAAAAGAAGGAAGGAAGGAAGGAAGGAAAAAAGAAGGAAGGAAGGAAGGAAGGAAAAAAGAAGGAAGGAAGGAAGGAAGGAAAAAAGAAGGAAGGAAGGAAGGAAGGAAAAAAGAAGGAAGGAAGGAAGGAAGGAAGAGAAAAAGGAGGCTGTTTTGGTCCATAAAGGAGGAGAGGGGACTGTTTGGGTTACTCAAAACAAATTGTCCGAAAATCCATGCGGATTTGACTCAAAAGTCAAAATTAAAGAAAATTTGGGTGGGTGGGGGGAGTGTAAAGAGAAAGCTGGCTGATACGGCACCCCCCAGGGTGTGTGTGTCGGCCATCGAAATCTCCCCACTAAAAATTGCAGTTTTACCGTTTTAAGAGAGGAGATGGTGGAAAAGGTGTAAAACAGGCATTTACTCTACGGGGTGGGGAGTTTAGAAGATGCCATGCAGATGAGAAGAAATCCAGAAAAAAACTAAGATTGTGTGGTTTAAATGCCCCACACTCTGAAGGGTGTGAGTCGTGGGGGGGCGTTCCAGAAACAGAAGGCGCCCTGGAAAATAGACATGGCAGAGGTCTCCAGATGACGGTTTTTTTTGGCCCTCCAGATGTTTGGGACTACAGCTTCCATAATCCCCAGCTCTCGGGTCAAAGCTCCAAACCTCTCTGTGGCCAAAATTTCACTAGCTTATCCCTCTCTCCCCCCCCCATTCTGATTCAGAAAGCCGTGCTATTGCGTTCATGCCTGGGTGATTCATACAGGACGTGTCTGTCAACAGTTGTGAGCCACCGTGCCTCGAACGAGCCTCCATGCTTGAGGGCAGTCTACCTGAGGACCAGAGGCTGACGACATACCGGCAAGGCGGGCTTTCAGAGCGTAGAAGGGCGGGCTTGGCCGTGGGCCACATGTTGGCCCCCTCCAGGCAATCAGAGGGTCTCCAGTTGGGGTACCCAATGATGATGGGCCACTGACACGATCTGGAGAGCCACGAATTGAAGATGATCAAAGGAAGTGTTGGTTCTCCCCTCGTCTAGAAAGTTATTTTTTTCATTTGACAGAAAGCGGGAGAAGCCTCTGTAAGCCAGCATCTTGATTGGGGTAAGGGGGGAAAACCCTTTTCCCCCCATAATTTTTTTCCCTATTTCTTTTCCCTTCTTTTTCGTGACTTTAAAAAAAATCTGGGGCTTGGGGAGGTTCTCTTCGGTTTGTGCTGCCGTTTGGAGCGACTCGAGAGAATCTGTGCGGTAACAGTGCCTAAGATTCCTCAGTTGGGATTCGGAAAATCAAGGTTGTAGTCCCCACTGATTATGAAACTCAAAGGGTCACTTTATTTGTATACAGTGGCGCCTCGCTAGACAGTTACCCCCGCATGACAGTTTTTTCGCTAGACACTGACTTTTTGCGATCGCTATAGCGATTCGCAAAACTGTGATTCCTATGGGGGAATTTCACTGGACAATGTTTGGTCCCTGCTTCGCAAACCGATTTTCGCTAGATGACGATTTTGACAGCTCCCTCCGTGCTCGCAAAATGGGTGTTTTCGGGACCTAGGCTTCACAAGACAGCTATTTAAACAGCTGATCGGTGGTTTGCAAAGCGGCTTTCCTATGGCCGATCTTTGCTACACAACGACGATTCTTCCCCATTGGAACACATTAAACAGGTTTCAATGCATTCCAATGGGGAAAATGCTTTTTGCTAGACGATGATTTTGCTAAACAGCGATTTAAGTGGAATGGATTATCATCATCTAGCGAGGCACCACTGTATATACATCTTTCCTTCAGTAAGTTCAAGGGGCTCTGCGTGGCCTTTTGCTTCTTGCCAACAAACCTGTGGGATCAACCAGGCCAAGTCCTTTCCTGACTCACCAGGGACTTGAAACATGATCGCTTGACCCTCCTATGGAACAATGATCCTCTTTGGTCCAATTTCTCTTTCTCTCTCTCTCTCTCTGACTGTCCCCTATCACGGGATCGCCGGGAGGATGAAGTGAGCAGATGACCAGCATAAACACTGCTTTGACAACGATCAAATATTCAGCAATAAAATAAAATTGATGGCATAAATGCATGCAATTTCACAGGGAAGCTGGGAAGAGGTCAAATCTCATATCAGGCATGGCCCTGTTGCTCATCGGCCTGGCTGCCATCCCCATCATCCTCAGGCTCTCCGATCCATGGTTCAACAGAGCCTTAGAGCTAGCCTTTCCCAAAACCCAAGAGCCTCTAACTCCTCTGCGTAAAGGCCCGCCTTGCAGGGCTGTTCGGCGCACCCGTGAGCATGCCACATTCGATGCTCTTTGCTGGATATCCAAAGCCTCTCACGCCTCCCCATGGCCAGCCCATGCCCACGCCGCTGCCTGCTTGCAAAGCACATCGAGGGCGGGTTTTTTCCCCTGGGAGGTGGCCCTGTTCCCAGGTATATTTCGCAAGCCGCCAGGAGGGAACTGGCTGCGAAATCAAAACCTCCCCAGTGCCCTCGAAACTGGATCCGAGGAAGGAGGACCGGGAGAGGGCGAGGGAGGGGCCCCTTCTGTCTGCGGAGAGGGTGACTTGATCGGACGGCGTGTTCTTGATGAGTCACCTTGCAATGAAACAGCACAAGATGACACAGCATTTAAAAAAAAAAGCCCGGCCTCTCCCATCCTGCCCGGGCAAAAAGGCTGGGGTGGCAGAGAGGAGGTACGTACAACCCTCTCCACGCCAATGTACACATTCCCAAGACCTTTCCGATACAGGAATTATTCCCCGGAATACCCAGCGCAAGACAGTGGAGAAAGGGATCAACTAAGACTCAGAGAGACCCGGGTTTGAATCTCACCCACCCAGCCATGGATGCTCACTTGGGGAGGTGGAAGTGGTATATAATATATGATATAATAATACTTGTGTGCTGTCAGATCAATTCATGATGATCCTTTCCAGGGTTTTTCAGGTATGGAAGACCTAGAAGTGGTTTCCCATTCTTTTTTTGGGGGGGGGGGAAACGTCCTGGGACTGTGCAGCTTGCCCAAAGCTATCCAGGCTGGCTCTGCTTCCCGGAAGCACCGTGGGGGAATCGAACCCCCAACGTCTGCCTCTGGAGACTTAAATCACTAAGCTATCCAGCCAGCTTGGAACTCCTTTATGTACATCTCATTACCTTGGAAGCCCCATTAAGGCCAATCTAAGTGGGTTCCACCTTGAAGGCACATCACAACACCCACCATTTCCAAATACCCCAGAATCTCTCTTTTCTTCTTTTTTAAAAAAACTGTTTCCTCCCCTCCTCTTTCTTTAGCAGAATCTTTGTAGAGCTTCAAAAAAAAATTATTTTCTGGGATCTTAGCCATGCTGGTTCAGGGGGTTTGGGGCTAGTCTAAGATCACAAGTTTTAGCTGTATTTATTTATTGTTCTTGTTCCATTGGGTTGTTATGATTTCATCACATATTGTAAACCACTCAGAGAGCGGTAATGCTCATGGGGCGGTATATAAATATAAATATAAA